AGATGGGCCACCCAAAATCAGTCAATTTCAAATTAAAATTGTCTTCAAATATATACACATACAATACTTTATAGCTCTGCACCAATCTATATAAAGAAGCAGTAACCAAAATGATTTATCCATCACTGAAAAAGCTCTGCAAGTGAATCTGCTTCTTCAAAAAGCAGATGCTTAGGTACCTTGAGACTGATCTGGTCTTTCTGCCATCCAGCTTCTTCTAACTGTTTTAAAAAGACTGTAAATCTGGCTTCTAGTTTTAGTAGGCTTTCATTGAGCCAACCAAGTACATCATCCCTATCAAGTTCCTTATGGTGGTTATGCAACCAATACACTTGCCATAAACTCTTCAGAACTGATAGGCTTGTGGCACCAACCTAAGGATTATCAAGTTTGTTCAAATCATCAGAAAGAAAAAAATGGATTATATTTATTTCAAAATATATCAAGAATTTGAAACCTCTTTGAAAACTTTCTTGTCTAGCTCAAATAACAATAAAAAAACTGCAAATTGAAACAATAGGCAATAGAAAAGAACCTTGTATGTTATGTAGTAGTTTAGCACTTTTGATCCATGCCGGTTAACAAAGAGAACATGCTTTTCTTGTGCGTAAAGTTCCAGAACTGCTTTAACCTTCATCGAAAACCAGTAGAGGGTAAGAAAACATTGTGATCTGCTGTAAAACTTGGGCCAGGTTCTGAAGCAATGTACATTATACAAACATAAATTCATAAAGGTATTCGGTAATGACTACCGAGATGCTTAGTCTTCATATGAAACGATTTTTTTATTGCTTCTTAAAACTCATTGTATGTACATCATACAAACATAAATTCATAAAGGTATTTAGTAATGACTACCGAGATACTTAGTCGTATCTTAACGTAGAACGATTCTCCGCCTAAATCTGCCTTTTCAGCCTACAATATCCAATAACCTTCAAATGTAAAATCAAACATTTTACTTAAATTATCTATGGTGTTTAATATGAAAACTTATATTTGATTCGCATCAGTCAAGTTAATCAAGCTTGTGCCAAATATAGAAACTTGTTGATCATAAAATTGATCAAGTCGCATGTAACTCAGGAATTGTTAAGCTTTAAGTCATCTGAAATCTCTAATCACTAAAACTAAAACTCATAAACTCTTCTAGGGAAATGCGACAAAGTTGCCAGGCTACTTTCCTGAATATCACGACTACACTAAAATATTCTCCTACAAACTAGGAGTTCTCGCCAGAACTCGCTTAGGGTTCTTGTTAGAAGAACTCATTAAGGATACTCGCCCTTTTAACTAGAAGTTATCTGAACTTTCCGCCTAGTGGATAGTTAGCAAAGAAACTTGTTACAAAAAATGACTACAAAAAGTCTACTTATAAAATTTTCTTATTATTTTCTCATATAACACATCATGTGCCATGGACCATAATTCTCACCTATGAATATAGGCTCACTAAATTTTGTACCTTTTAGGCAAAACTCTTTTCCCAGGCTTTTCTCAAAACTTCTCTATTTAAATTTCTTATTAAACTAGGTTTGCCCACACCCCTTTCCCCTTTCAATCTTTAAGGGGTCAACCTTATCAACTGTAATTCCAATTCAAGTAAACATAATGTCTGAACCCATAATCCCTC